CTGGTCTTGAACTCCTGACCTCAGATGATCCATCTGCCTTGGCCTCCCAAAGTGCTGGGATTACAGGCGTGAGCCACTGAACCCAGCCCTATTTACATCTTTTTATGTTGTGTACTCCTTAACAAATGGCATTAACTATCACTTAAAAAATTTTTTTGCCTTTTGACATTTATACTGATACAAGTAATTTATACAATACCATGATCATATTAGAATATTCTGAACTTGACTGTTTACCTACTGTAATCACCTAATTTTATATTTTCACATGGTTTTATGTATCTTGTTAATGTTCTTTTCTTTCAGATTGAATAACTTTTTTTTTTTTTTTTAGCATTTCTTGTAAGGCAAGTGTAGTGGTGATGAACTCTCACAGGTTTTGTTTCTCTGTGAAAGTCTTTATTGCTCCCTTGTTTCTAAAGGACAGATTTGTTGGGTATGGTGTTGTTGGTTGGCAGTGTTTTTTTTTTTCCTTTCTATACTGTGTATGATTCCACTCTCTCCTGGACTGCAGGTTTCTGGTGAGAAGCCTTCTGATAGTTTTATAAGTGTTCCCTTATATGTGACAAGTTGCTTTTCTCTTACCGCTTTCAAAATTCTTTGCCTTTCACTTTTGGGAATATGTTTGTGATGTGTCTTGGTGAAGATCTCTTTGTATTTAATCCATTTGGGGTTCTTTAGGCTTAATGAATCTGGAAGTCTATTCCCATCCAGATTTGGTACATTTTCTTTCATTATTTCTGTAATTATACTTTTTTTTTTTTTAGATGGAGTCTCGCTCTGTCACCCAGGCTGGAGTGCAGTCGTCCAATCTCGGCTCGCTGTAAGCTCTGCCTCCTGGGTTCATGCCATTTTCCCGCCTCAGCCTCGCTAGTAGCTGGGACTACAGGTGCTCACCACCATGCCTGGCTGATTTTTTTTTCTTAGTAGAGACAGGATTTCACCATGTTAGCCAGGATAGTCTTGATCTCCTGACCTCGTGATCCGCCCTCCTTGGCCTCCCAAAGTGCTGGGATTACAGGCGTGAGCCACCACGCCCAGGCTGTAATTATACTTTCTGCACCTTTCTCTTTCTCTGATGCTCCTTGGACAATGATAATACCTATATTGTTTTGCTTCACGGTAACCCATCAGTACTGTTGGTTTTATTCTCTCTTTTTCATTCTTTTTTTTCTTTTTGTTCCTGTGATTTGGAGACTTCAAATGATCTGTCTTCAAGCTCACTGATTCTTTCTTCTGCTTAATCAACTCTGCTGTTGAAGCTCTCCATTGGATTTTTTATTTCATATATTGTGTTGTTTGATTCCAGAATTTCTGTTTGGTCCTTTATTATGGTGTCTGTATGTTTATTAAACTTTCATTTTGTTCATGTATTGTCTTTCTGACTTCACTTACTTGTCTATCTGTATTTTTTTTTGTAGCTGACTAAGCTTCTTTAAAATGAGTATTTTCAGTTCTTTGTCAGGCTGTTGTAAATCTCCATTTGTTAAGGGTGGACTACTTGTGTTTTATTTTGTTTCTTTGGTGCTATCATGTTTCCCTGATTGCTCATGAGCCTGTGGCAATGTGCTGGAATGTGCGCTTTGAAGAAGCAGGGACTTATTCCAATATTTACAGACTGGCTTTGTCAGGGAACACCCTTCACCAGTCAGCCTGTACACAGATTTTGGTCAGGCCATGTGGTGTGGTTCAAAGGTGGTCTTGTTGCTGGTGTCCTCAGGCAAGCCAGTTTGGTATCCAGGCATGTGTGGGTAGGCCGAGAGCCTATATCCAGAAAGGTGACCTGAAGCCTCAGTCCATGGGTCCTAAACTGGCACTGGCATGGGTCTTGAGTTTGGGTCTGCAGATGTCAGCCAGGTGATGGCATGGGCCTCATCCCTAGGTCCACAGGGAAGGGCCTGGATCCTGAGTTCATGGGGACTTACCTGGCACTGGGGCAGACCTGGAAGCTGAGTCTGTGGGGGTAGGCCAGGATTCTGGGTCTGTAGTCTAGCCTTGAGGACCCCATTGAAGACTGACCTCTCATCCTTATCATATTCTTGTCTCTATGTGCTTCTAGATTTCTGTTTCCTGCACTTTCTGGCTCTTTTTCCACAGGGATACATTGGATGATTTCTGTCAGTCAGGCACCATGCTAACGGGGGTTAAGAGGCCCTGCCCTCATGGAGCTTTCTTTCTGGGATGGTATCAAGACATACAAATAGGCTGGGTGCAGTGGCTCACACCTGTAATCCCAGCACTTTGGGAGGCCAAGGCAGGCAGATCACGAGGTCAGGAGATCAAGACTATCCTGGCCAATGTGGTGAAACCCTGTCTCTACTAAAAATATAAAAATTAGCTGTGCATGGTGGTGCGTGCCTGTAATCCCAGCTACTCGGGAGGCTGAAGCAGGAAAATCACTTGAACTAGGGAGTTGGAGGTTGCAGTGAGCCGAGATGGTGCCACTGCACTCCAGCT